CAAGCCTTCACTGTTCACCATACACCCCTGCAACCACACCCTCTCAAACAATATACAAGACTATGACTTTATTTTTGAGTTATTATACAATCACTTCTATATACACTATGGAAACACAAATCATGATAAAAATATTTTGTGTAATAAAATTAAAATGTTATAGTAGGTGTGTGTTGGCTAGAGGTGGTATATGGTTTAAGACCCCTTCCCAGGGATCACTAATCTACAGGTGGTGACAAGGTGGGACCTAGGCTAGGCCATTCTGTCTGCTTATAGGGTGTTGTATTCTTCACCCACCATGATTCTGATGTAGTTTTTGGGAGGCAGTTCCCTTCTACATCCTTTACTCCATTCTCTTCATGGGTCTCCAAGCCTCCCCTTTACCCCACCCTAACCATATCCTGTCTCTGACAAGGATGTATATTGTTGAGACTTCCTGATGACTCTAGTGATGCACACTACTCTCAGTGGCCACACTGACAGGGTGGCCCACTTGGCTAGCTCCTTTCCAGCCTTGATCATTCTCTCCGCCAAGCAAGAAAGTCCACAGCTGCTAATCAGTGGGCTCAGCAGTCAAAATATAGTCCTAGATATACCTGAGCCCAAAAATTAATACGTTGGTGGCCATGGCCACTTCTGGCTTACTCCATCAATATAGGAATAGTTCTTCTCCCCAACAGAAGTCCCTTTAGGGCTGTAAACCTCACATGTCCTGGTCCTGCCACTCGAGGCCTCTTTAACAGTCCTACTAGGCCTTGGCAACCTTCAATCCTTAGTCTTAGGGTCTAATTAAATACTCTGGGGCTTCCAGCTGCCCCTGCCCTTCCACTGTGTGTAGAGCCTGGATGTGCAGCCCTGTTCCAGACTGATCTCTGACCCCTGGGTCCAACAACAGCCCCCAGGAGGTGAGTAATGTCCCGGCGCCCAACTCTTCCACCCGATCTGCTTCTACCCAGGGTCCCTCTGACCTGAAAGATGGCTTGTCTCCAACCATCTGCCTGGAGTCGCAGATCACTGCTCCCATGTCTGCAGGCTATTGGATTCTGTGCTCGGTGCTCCTCTGAGCACCGGGCCTCTCAGGGTGGGCTGGCTGCTCTGCTTCAGCGTTTGGCTGCTCCCTGTCCTGGAACCACTCAGCCAGCCCTCTTTGCTGCACGCTGCCCACCCTCTCTCCGTGTCTCTCTCTATGGGTGCGTCATATCCTGCAGCTTCCCGCCTCGGCCCCAACTGGTGTGCCCTTCCCTTGCACCAGAGGCCTCCACCCACACGGAGCCTCTGGCACTGGCCTGTGGGAGCTGCCTGGCATGGCTGCCAGCAACTGGGAATGGGAGCAAGGTTACCCCCACCTGTAGGGTTTGCTCTTTAGTGAGGTCTTTAGAGTGCCAGGTGACTGAGCTCCAGGCCCAGGTAGACAGCTTTCACAACATCAGGGCCCGTGAACAGGAGATTGATGACTACTACTATCAGGCTCTTCTCCCGAAGAATGAAGAGAGAAGTGCAAGGATACCCAGCTATGTGAAGAAGGACAACAGGAAGAGACTTGAAGCCCCACCTGGGGGATGCTTGGAAGACTGTAATCTTGGGTCCCAAGACATGTTGTACCAAGGTTACTCCTCCCTTGGAACCAAGCAACAGGTACGCATCTCTCACACCACCAGCAAAACATCAGAAGAAACACCGGCTCTGGACGAGGGGAGGCAGCTAGCTGCCTGCCGCTCCCCCCCACCCCCCAAGAAGAGAAGCAGGGTTGTTGTGGTAGGCCACTCCTTCCTGAGAAGGACTGAGGGAGCAATCTGCCACCCTAGCCCATGAGGTCTGCTGCCTCCCAGGGGTCTGCATCCAGGATGTGGCAGAGAGGATTCGTAAACTCATCTGGCCCTCTGACCACTAATCCCCATGCTCCTCATCCATATGGACACGAATGACACAGCTTGGAGCAATCCTGGCTGGGTCATGAGTGACTACAGGGCTCTGGGGGCTCAGCTTATGGGGTTGGGGGCGCAGGTAGTTTTCTCCTCCATCTTCCTGGTTGCGGGCCTAGGAGAGATGGATGCATCAAAGACGTGAACCAAAGGCTCCAGCGATGGTGCTACCGACCACAGTACGTACTTCAGAGACAGAGGTCTTCTGGGAAGGGATGCTATCCACTTCATGCCAAAGGGGAAGGCTCTTTTCTCGGCCAGGATTTCAGACCTCCTGGATAGGACTTTAAACTGAGATTGCCAGGGAATTGGGGGGG